CTCTCTCAAAGAAAAAAAAAAAATCTTAAAAAAAAAAAATATATAGACCAAAATTTAGTTAAAAATAGATGTTTTAAGTTCTTCGAATAATTGGCCAAGAAGAAAAACTTTCCTTTCATCATGGATGTAACAAATGTACCCTATAAAATAATTTTCAAAAACCTTAAATTATTAGGACTCTTGCCTGAAAGCTTATTTGCCCATGTACAATAAAAATGGAACCACTATTTTGGACAAGTGCTTTTTCTCTACAGACTACTTCACCTTAACACTTACCTGTATTTTGTATTCCAGTGGCTCATTATTAATCTCTGTGTTGGACCAAACAGACTCAAACATGTTAATTTGTCAATATCGCATTTTAAAAATCAATCCACTGCTCTTTCTTTAGTTACAACAGAGAGATGAAATTAACAGTGATCGCCAATCGATGCAGTCCTTGCAGACTAAGAGACACAGCACAACAGTTCAGCCGACAGTCGAGGACTGAGGACTGGCCAGGGTTTGAGTACTCTCCTGTCCACAGAACTGGCTCCGAACGTCTTCCTCCTCCTCACCTGCAGAGCTCAGCTCTCGCCCTGGTGGTGGGCGGGGGTGGTTTCAGTCACCCCAGGGCCAGCCTCCCCAACTCTGACCCAGCAGTTCCTCCTGGCTACACGACCAAGATCTCTGGGTTCTCTTGGTGTGGCTGCCCAGCGGGTAGCTGCAGGACAGCAGCGGCTGCCCTGAGAAAGTAGCAAGGTAGGAAGGCATAGAGCCTGGGACTGGGGAAGGCACAGAAGTGTGTGAGAGGGTAGGAGGGGGGAGGCGGGAGGAAATGGAAGACTGAGAACATGCGAAAGAGCGTGGGAGACCAGGACAGAGGAAGGTCATTAGAGACAAGAAGTCAGCCCTTAGTTCTGGACCGCTAATATTTTACTTCACAGTTGATTAGAGGGGCTGGAAAGCACTGCTATCAGGCAAGCGGCAGGCTGATTCCTTCTTATACTTTAATCAAGAGCACACAGCACTTCAAATACACATTCAAATCTTTACACAATTTACAGTCGCTGAATACTTTACTTGAGAATAGACTCGAACAGGAAGTGCTCTTAGCTTAAATGACTACAAATTAGTAAGGACAAAGGCTCTGCCTGCATTCTGATCACAGTGATTCATTTGTATTCAATTACATATCCTCCAACAACGTTTTGTTCTTCTACTTGGATGGCATGCTTTTAAGATACTGTTTTGGCATCCATTTTCTTATAGCAAGCAAGTAATGGGGCTCAGGTTCTACCTCTGGCATCTCTAAAGAAGAAAATGCAGCTTCAGGCTTAAGTGGTAAATCAAGTCCTTTTGAAATAAAATGAACAGCAACTGAAAGTTCTAAAGCACTTGATAGATGCAGATCTGGAAAAGTAAAAGATAGTAGTAAAACCACCAAAAAACTGAATTGGAAAAAGCCTAAATCAAGTTACTTCAGTTAAGAGAGTACGTTTAAAAAATAAACAAAAAAAGGGGAAAATCAATTTCCTTCTTTAGAATGGACTCTGAGATTTAGAGCACTGTATTACTGGAAGGTAGACTGGTAAATACAATTTCATACTGGAACGTTTGCAAGATTATTCTCGTACCTTCAGCTGTTAGAAACCAACAACTGGGTACCCCTTCGGTCAGCTCTGCTCCTGATGGGAGGTCTAATCTTAGTCTGAACTGGAGAGTCTGGCCTGGTGATGCAGCCACTGGAGAAAGTCTAATGTTTGGAGCAGATTTAGGCAGTTTGGGCAATGTCCTCTGTTTCTCGACCAGGAATGGGCCATCTACCACAGCATTGTCAGGTCTGAAGACTGGGAGCTAGGAAGTAAGAAAATCTGTTAATTAAAACACAAGTACTTCATAGTAATTGTAAAGAGCTTATTTTTGAACCTCAGTAGAAAAATGAGGTTCTATGTCGATAAAACTTAATTGCCATTCTAGTCTGAGTTAGGAATGTGCTTACTTAGACGTCCTTATAATTATTTTATAGGTTCAGAAACATATTTCATCCTGGCAAAAAGATTACCAATACAAATGAAACAGAACTAAGTTCATTATCCAGGATGTTTATAGATGGTAGGAAATTAAAGTAAAACTTAATTTAAATGTAGGGGGTATAATTCCACTTACAATTTTCACTGCCAACTATAAGATGATCTGTCAAGAGAAATGACAGTTATGATGGCAGTCAGTATTTTTATTTTAAAATATATCTTGGGGGTGCCTGGGTGGCTCGGTTGGTTAAGCATCTGCCTTCGGCTCAGGTCATGATCCCGCAGTCCTGGGATCCAGCCCCATGTCGGGCTCCCTGCTGAGCAGGAAGCCTGCTTCTCCCTCTGCCTGCCGCTCCCCCTGTTTGTGCTCTCCCTCTCTCTCTTTCTCTCTCTCTCGCAAATAAATAAAATCTTTAAAAAAAAATTATGTATCTTGGGAATTCCTAGAATTTTAGGAAAAAAGCTCTTGCTTTTTTTTTTTCCCAGCCAAATGTGATAATATCAAGAGGTAGCTTGAACATTTTTGGAAACTATATCCTTATCTTTAAAAATTGATTAGAACTCATTTAAGTTTCTTCCAATCTTATTTTCAATGTGTTGAGAAATGTGGCTCCTAGAGTTTCCTTTGGGAGGTTACCTGGTAAGAGATTAATGTGTTATCTTTGTTTCCCATGGTGAATCCAAGAATCCTTAAAAAAAACAAAACACCTGGACAACCCAACCCATGTAGTATGTATGCACAATGTGTGTATGTCTATACACATACTTTTTTTTTTTTGACATTTAAACACAGATGAAAGTTCAAATTCTCTCCAACTTCCAGTATCTTAAACACTCTCGTCACAAATGGAATTTTTAACAAGAACAGGGCATTCTGGAAGGAGCATTCACTACTCTACCTACATGTTTTATGTCCAACACTGGAGATGATTTAACCAAAAGCGCCTCTTTCTGTGCTGTGAGGACTTTAGTATCATTCTTAAAATAATACTCTTACACTTTGATTGCTTACCACAGAAATTGTTTTTGTTTCTAAATCCATCACTTTAATCTGATGATTATTGGTGTCTGCTACATATAACTGGCCATTCTCCCCAATACACAAGCCTCCTGGTTCATTAAAAGTTGACTCGGTAAAGCTGGAAGTGATAATGTTACTTGCGTCTCCGGTTCCTGCTAATGTTGAACAGTTTTTTGTTTTTGGATCCACAACTTTAATCTAAAAAGAAAGAATAATGCAGTATATAGCTGAAGGTCAAGCTCTTGTTCATAGTATAGGAAAGTGTAGTGAAAAGCAAACCAGAGAACTTGACTGCCATTAGCATTCTTACTAAATCTCAGAAAAAGAATAGGCATTTCCAGCGCACCTGAGTGGCTCAGTCAGTTAAGGGTCTGACTCTTGATTTCGGATCAGGTAGTGACCTCAGGGCTGTGAGATCAGGCTCTGTGCCCAGCATCAGTCTCCGTGCCCAGCTTGGGATTTTCTGCCTCTCCCTCTCCCTTTGTTCCTCCCCCCACTCATGAGGGTGCTCTCTCTAATAAATAAATCTTAAAAAAAAAAAAATATGCATTTCCATATTTTCTTGAAAAGCCAAACATTCAAATTACAGTCTCAGGGGAGACACTCCATTCTGAGAGCTAAAAATTACATAAAACACCCAATTACATCTTATCTTCCAGCAGCAATCTTTGATGAAATTATTTCTGGAATCAAAAAAAAATTTTTAAATGTTATTCTTTTTCCTCACAATGAGACCCAGTTGAACTTTCTTCTTTTTCACAAGCATCTAACACTGGCTGAGAATTGGCCGCTTCTGTTAAACCTAATGATTTCCAATTGTGCCTCAATTATGTTAATTTATGGTGTCATCACAAGGTATTAACATTTTCCACTAGTTTTTATAGAAAAGAAAAATGCAATAAAAATGGCAACAATTGAATAATCCGTGCAATAGAGACAAAAATGGAAATGCTGCTGAAAATGGAATTATTTGCTAGCAGGCACTGCAACCATGCAACAGCTCGAAAACGTTCCTTTGTTAGTTGACATATTAATTTCCTCGACACCTGCCGCCTTATTTACCCTGTTACTAGGCAGCTTTGATGGATCGCAATTCATGATTTTTTGCTGTAGTCACGGGGAACTGATTTAGTCCCTTCTCCAGCTCCGAGTGCCATCATATCCTCTTTGCAAAGAAAGGACTAAGAAAAGAACAGCAAAGGCCTGTACACAGTTGTCAAAGACTGTTACTCCTCTCTATTTTAAAGTGGCAGTTGGAGGAGGCTCACAGAGCTTTCAGCTTTTTACATGCCACAGATGAAAAGCAGGATAATCTAGAATTCTGTTAAGACTCACCTTGTGATTATAAGAGTCTGCCACATAAAGTAGATTCCTTTTCTTGTCCCAAGTTACTCCAAGTGGGTGCTGAAGCTTGGCACTGATTCCTTCTCCATCAACATCACCAAAAGCAAATAAATTCTTTTTTTTTTTTTTAAAGAAAGAAACAGCATGTATTAAAATTCTTCCAGTGCTACAGCATAGGGTATAAAGTAAAAAGAAGACTCTATATGCTACTTAAGTTGAAGGGGAAATGGGTCTGATTTCATATAAATAGACCTGGGTATTCAATTCAGACAAGAAAACAAATGACAGAATTTTGAACCTGTATTAATTTGTGGCACTTGGTACTTTTATGCACAGTGATCACACATCCGGTCAGGAACAGGTCAAGTCTACTAATCTGGTGCTCTTTCAACCCTCCTGCCAAGTATCTAATTTACATTTTCCTCTTTCCTCTGTAATCAACATTTGATCCTTCCATTCTTCCTGAAGCCTCGATATTTGTGTAATCAAGTAGAGTCAACTGACTTTTCTTAGATGGTTTTGTTACTTGCGTTTCTTTATATTCGCATTTCCTTTGGCCTGACTTCCACTTTAATTTATGGATAGGCCAAGAACTCGCTCTCCTGAAATTTAATAACTTCACAATTCGAAACATGCAAGCGGGGTTAAGGGTCTGGGCATAGCATGCAAAAGCGATCTTCACGCATTACCATGGGATCTCTTTCTCCTCCCACGAGGTGCTTCACTGCTCCGTCTTTCAGCGAGACAGTTCTCACCGTGCTGCTCTCACTGTCTGCGACAAACAGGCAGCTCCAGGGATCTTCGGGGGCCAGAGAGAGACCTGAAGGCTGGGCAAAGCCTGCCTTGTGAGGATATGCATTATTTCGGTTCTCTTCATTTCCGCTTCCAGCAAACCGAAGGCAGGTTCCTTTTTTCAGCTCACTAAAAAAACCCAAGTTCATAGGTGGAATCGACATCGTTATGTTGTGTCCAATTTAGTCATCAAATGAATGTAAGTAATGAAATCGGTGGTGATAAACACTGTTAAAAAACAGACCCATGATCTTCGCCTCAAGTATGCAAGTAAGCTTTACTTTCCCTGTAGTGCTTCTAAATCATTAACTTACTCACTGTGCAGGGACCTTTACTTTTTTTTTTTCTGACATACAAAATTGAAACTATTCTCAATGATCATATTATTGACTGGATAGTTGTGTGTGGTTTTTTTTTTTTCCTACAAATGGCCAGAGATAGGTACATCTGGATCCCAGCTTAACTTTTTTTTTTATAAGTTTTTTTTTTTATTTATTTGCGAGAGAGAGAATGAGAGACAGAGAGCATGAGAGGGAGGAGGGTCAGAGGGAGAAGCAGACTCCCTGCTGGGCAGGGAGCCCGACGCGGAACTCGATCCCGGGACTCCAGGATCACGACCTGAGCCGAAGGCAGTCGCTCAACCAACTGAGCCACCCAGGCGCCCCCAGCTTAACTTCTTACAGGACAATTATGCTGCTTTAATCAACTGTAAAATCAATTTCTTATATACAATAGAGAAATTTCTATTTAAAAGACTTTGCAATGATTCTTTTTGTAATGGAAAGCTTTACACTTTGACTTCTAGGTTTATGCTGGAGGAACTGGAAGGAAGACACGGTGGTATGCTGCGTCGAGGGAGGGGAAGAAGCTGACTCAGGATGCAAAGTAATGAGACGACATGTACATCATCTCCAGATATGGCCCAGCAGGCAGAAGTCTAAGATGACCACCAATCACTTATTCACTGATATGTTCCCAATGGGGGATAGAGGCAAAGGGATACAGAATGTATAAAATACAGCCACTTATTCAAGAAACTTAAAGAAAAATGTAGTCAGAGAAATACATGTGATAACTAATATGCCAAACAAATAAAAAGTAATTAATATGAATCTTAATTTCAAATAGGAGTTTCCTTAATTAAATAAAAGAAAGAGTGGGGAGAAAAGGACCTTCTAAAACATTAGCAATCTTTACCACTGGAAGATCAGTAAAAAAGATCAAGCATCCTTAAAATTATGATACAGGTCCATGTGATCCGACTGGACATTTTCCTATTATGAACGAGAGTGAGAAACTCTACTTATTTGGAAATTTAGCCCACTCTTGACCATATGGGTCGAAAACAGCCATCTAGAACAGTGCATTCTGGCCATCTCTGTTACTTCTACTGTTTATAATTATGCCTCGCGTTAATGTTTCTGGTCACCACACTGTTCAGGCTACTATCTTCTCTTGCCTGGAGATGACCACAGTCCCCTCACTGCTATCTCTGTGTCTAGTTTTCTCCCAGTCCAAATGCTGCCAGTGTTCTTTCAAAAACACAGATCAAATCATGTCACTAGCCAGCTCAAAACTTTCCATAAAGGCATGCAGAATAATGTTCACATTTCTTCAAAGGACACAGAAGGCGCTTCACAATCTGGCTTTTACTCACATCACTGGTGTCATTTCTTGCCTGGAAAACCTCCACTCTCCCTAACTCCTGCTCCTTTATCAGATTTTAATTTAGCAGCTTCTTCCAGGAAGCCTTCCTTGATACCTCATATTTTATTGATATTGGGTATTCCTCTTATTTATGTAAGGGACAATTTTACTTTAAGGGACAGTCTAGTAGGAGGAAATAGTTATGGAAACCAGTAAATGCAACCAGAAACAGGGTCAGGGGAGAGAAGAAAAAAGAGGGACGGAGGGAGGAGGAGGGGAAGAGAGAAGGAACTTTTCAGTGCAGTAATGTAACTACACAGGGAGTGTAGTGAGGTCACAGAGAAGAGTATGGTCAGTTCTACCTGGAGTGTGAGGGAGAAGAGATAAGGCTCTACAGAAAGGATATAAGAAACTGCAGAGACACTACTTTTTCATATTTATATCCCCAACAGTGGTAGCGAAACTCCTACATTTACTGTATAAGCCAGGCACCAGGCTGAACTCTTCATACCTATTATTAATTTTCAAAACAAGCCTATGAAGTTAAGATATAAAGAGACCGAAGCACAGAAAGTTAAATTGGCTCTCCTAAGCTCCCAGACATAGTAAGGGGCAGAGCCAGGATTCGATCTCAGGCAGGACTACAAAACCTGAGCCATCAAGCACTCTGCCACACAGTACTCAAACGTTTGTAATCCTGAGCAGGGATGTGTGAACTGCATGTTACGAGAGCGGCCACCAAACATTTCCAGTTCTCTCTCTGGAGGCTCGAGAGGACTGATCTTCCCATGTTCCCGGAAGTTAGCAATGGTGGTCACGAGACTTACTTGGGCTGATGAAATTTAAGTGATGTGTGTCACTTCTGAGTAGAAGCTTTAAGAGCCACTGAGCGACTCACCACCTCTCTCTCTGCCAGGATGACTGGCAAAGCTCCAGATGAAGCAGGTGGCTGCTTCATCAGCCTGGTCAACAGCCTGGCAGAGGAGCGCTCCCCAGTGAACCTATGTGAGTGGGCAAGAAACAACCTCGTCTTACGCTCCTGAGAATCCGGTTGTTTGTTACGGTGCTGTAGCCCAGCACATCCCAACCAGCACAGAGGCGTTGCAAGAACAGAGACTTGAGGAGAGGGAATTCTGTGAACTCATAGTTTACCCAAAGAGAGATACTGTCACTTACTTTTTCTTTGGTAGCCTGCCACAGTCCAGCAGCAGTGCCCATATCTGATGAGTCCCCGCCATGGCTATCCACAGAATGTCATCTGTTTGGACCTCTGAACCTTTATAAAAATAAGCAGTAATTAATATATACGTGTCTTGTTAATACAAACACTCCATGTGTTTCAGAAATTTAAAGATGACAGCAGCATGTTTATAAATCATCTGAAGAAGAAAAAAGTATTTACAGTTTTAAGTTGCTTTTGATATTTTTCCATTTTCCTTGTGAAAGGTTTATTTCTTTAGATTTATAAATTTACCTGTAAATTCACAGAAATCCAAAGTATTCTTAATAGCAGGATGTCCCTCTGCATCTCTGGGCACAACGCTTTTAAATATTTGATTTCTTATTTGATAAAATGAGTTGACATATACTCTCCAAAGAAACTCTGCCAAATACCTAGCACTAACCACTGAAATCATATGCTTTAATAACAGGTTCTTTGAACAATTTCTCATGAAAAAACTATCTTTTAATAGTGTAAGAAATAGGTATTTCCACTGGGGCGCCTAGCTGGCTCAGTCGGTAGAGCATGTGACTCTTGGTCTCGGGGTCATGAGTTTGAGACCCACGTTGGGCATGGAGCCTACTTAAAAGTAAAATAAAGTATTTTTAAAAAATGTATTTTCACCACAGGATTAGCTAGACTTAGATACACATCACAGTTGCTATTTAAAAATCCATTGTATTAATTGGCTATGAGGCTTTTTCCAAAAAATATAGTTGATATGCAAAAAAGCTATGACAACAATATATTACAATACAGACTACAATATATTACAATTGTTTACTAAAACTTGTAATTTTCTACTTTCTTAGACTGATGTTACAACTTACTACAATATGACAAGGCTCTCTTTCTCAAATTAATTCTACTGTTAAAATACTTAATTTAGGGGTGCCTGGCTGGCTCAGTCAGTGGAGGATGTGACTCTTGATCTCAGTCGTGAGTTCGAGCCCCACACCCAGTGTGGGGCCTAAAAAATATATCTATCTTAAACTGTATCCTGAGGTGACTTTTATATGTAGTTGAGAATTTTTAACTAAAATAATTTGGTCAGATATTCCTTATGCTAAAAGAAGTATCTTGGTGAGGCCATTTTATTTGTATTTTCTTTAACTTCAAGGAGTGTGTGTCCAGAAGGAACCTGTTTTCCTTCACTTGTATTACCTTCAAGTGTCTTTCAATTTAATGACAACAAAAATAATATTGATGGTTCTCAATAAATTATGGTGGCTATGTGCCAAGCACTTTATAGAGATTATCACTTACATTTTCTCAAATGCCCCAAGGGACAGGTAGTGTTATTTGGCCCTTTTTACAGATGAAGGAACTGAGGCCTTAGAGAGGGGAGGTAATTTGCCAGGATCCCAGTGCTAGTAAATGAACTGGAATCTGACACGAGGCAGTCCGACAGAAAAATCTATATCACATGTTGCCTCTTTTTCTGTGTTCTTAATTGCTATCCTATGAAATCTAAAGGAAAGCATTTCAATTTAATTTTTTATAGTCAAATATTTTTATGAACAAAAATTACATTAAAAGTGACAAGGGCATCCATTTGTTCTGGGGACTCAGTCTCTGCTTAATCACCTTTAGAGTAGATCAAAAGCTTTTCATAATTATTTTATTTTGCTTCTGCCATGTGAGGACAAAGTACAAAGGTGACCATCCATAAGCCAGAAGAGAGCTCTCACCGGAACCCAATCATGCTGGCACCTTGAACTTGGACTTCTAGCCTTCAGAACTGTGAGAAAATAAGTTTCTGTTGTTTAAGCCACCCCATCTGTGATATTTTGTTATGGCAGCCCAAGGTGACTAAGACATTCTCCCTGAGAATAGAAATGAGACAAGGATATCTGCTAGTCAGCACTTTCATTTCACATCAGTTGAAGGCCCTAATTTGTGCAACAAGAAGAAGCAAAAATCATAAAGATTAGAAATAAAACTGTAATTATTAGAGGATGGCGTGCTTTTAAAGCCTCTACCTTGCCAAAGGAGAGCTGTGTTGGTATCTAGCTGAGTGAAAGACCAAATCAGTTCTCCAAACAGACCAGCCTAGTTCAACCAGGGTCTACTATATGAAGACCAAACCTCAGAGTGGTAAAGTGCAGTTTGTTTGGTTTTGTTCTCTGTGTACTTATTTCCTTTAGAAGCCTGAGGAACGAGAAAAAGTATAGAAGCAAAAGCTGTGTCAGATCAGGATTTCAGCGTCTTGGGATTCCCCGTGACAACTGATGGTGATGATGATGTTGACAGTGGGGAGGGGGAGGGAGTGAGGATGATGACCATCCAGAATATTTCCTATGTTTAAGGCACTGAGTTAATGAATAAGCACCTTACAGGGATTATTTCCTTAACTTAACAACTTCAGAAGTCTTATTCTTATCATCTCCATTTTACAAAGAAACTGAAATTGAAAAGGGTTAAATAATTTGTTGAAATTCACACAGCTAAACCTGGAATAATTAGTGAGTCTGAGTCCAGATTAATTATTAGTGTTCTGATCAGAATGAAGGAAATACAGAAGTGAGCCTTGGCCCTTATGGCCAAGTCCTGCTTGGCTCATTGACTTCTCCCTCCCTCCTGCCTCTGCCCCATGGACTTAGCTCAGGCTTGAAGTACACAAGAGCATTTTCTGTGTGATCAGAAGCAGAGATCTGATCAAATGTAATCATGACTGTCTGTTCCAGGATGTGTGCCTGGGTTCACTCCTGTCCTTCCCTCCCTGTAGCCTGTGGAATAGCCTATGGCTGAATAATCTCTTACCAGGATTTTTTCCAATCCCTTGCCTTTCCATTTTTGGGTTGTTTCAGCTTATCACCAGCTCTTTGTGACTCACAGGATGAAACTCTATGTTATAGCAAACACTTCTGCAGTACTTTGTATGGGGCCAGGCACTGTTCTAAGTGTTTCATGTATATTAACCCTCATAATTCTTGCAATAAGCTTTTGAGCTAGATCCTATTATTATCTTCAATTTAGATGAGGAAATTGAGACATAATGAGACTAGGTAACTCGTCCAAAGTTACATAACTACTAAGATGTAAAACTAATTAGAACCCAAGCAGTCTGGCTCCAATCCATGCAACACTGCCTCTCAGGAAGTTTTTACCCAGCCTGATAATTTCCCTGAGGGCTGAAGAGTTTGTTCTTGCAGATAAAATGAGAGTTTAAAAAAAAAAAAAAGAAAAGAAAAAGAAAAAGGTAGTCTGGCATTTATAATGCTTATCAAACCAACAAGAATCATATTAATAATTTATACTGTTCACCCTGCATTTTGAAATCTAAAGCACACAGTTATATCACCAAGTATGGGTATTGGTTTTGTTCCTCCTAATAAGAATGTGACAATCATGAACATTTCAATTTTAAGAGTGCACTTAGTATTATTGATTTTCAACAGTCACTTAAAAAAAAAAAAAAAAAGACAATGCCAAAAGCTGAAAAAGGTTTTGCGAGTATTTTAAAAGGCAAAATCTCTCATGATTGTAAGGATTAGTGAAATAATTTCAGAAGACAGGAATAAAATCAGCAAATGAAATATGAAAATAAAATTACCTGCCAATGAGCTTTTAAAAATTCAGTGTTATTTTAAGCAGCCATGGTCAAAAATAGATCCCAGTCATTAGAGCCCTCTAAATAGCAACTGTGAAATTGTCCATTTGTATAAATAGTTTTTTTCTACACAGTCTCTAAGCCTCCTAGGAAACAAAACCTCATGCCATTAGGAGAAAGAAGTAAAGCCTAGCACCCCCATGGCACAGGAAAACACCAATCACAGCTGGAGAAGGGTAGGGAAAAAAAAAAAACAACAAAACCCTTTCTATCTCTGAGGGAGGGGCAGAGAACTATCTTTGGCCAAAGACCCCATACTGACACCAATACAAGTTTCCCACTGCTGGGGGAGCAGCAGAAAATTCCTCTAAACCACTAAGAGTTTAGCTGCCAGAGAGAGAAGGAACAGGAGCAATGAAAAAGCTCCCTACCTCCTTTCATGGAGGCCCAGGCATACAGGGTCTCCCCGAGACTGAGGCTGACCAGAACAGAACACCCCGTAGCCCCCGTGCAGCCCAGGACGAAGTAACAAACAGCAGCAATCTATCTCTTGGGATGCTGCAGGAGTGCAATGCAGCAAGCCCTCTGTGGTCAGCTGTGCAGGAAAACCCCTCCAGCATGTAGGCCCCACACTAAGGCAAGGGCAGCCCACTGCTAGAGGAATTTGAGAGCTATGATAAACTGACAGTAACCACAGCAATAATAAAACTCAGACCCAGCCTAGGTTCTGATTAGATTGACTCAAACTTCCCTTACAATGGCATAAATATACTGATTTCATCAGCCTCTACAATTCTATTCAAAATTACTGGAATATAATAAAAAATGAGAAGACACACATAAAAGCAAAGCAGAACAAAACAAAACCACCCCCAAACCAAAACCCCATTTTCAAGAAACAAAGCAATCAACAGAAACAGACTCAGAGATGACCTGAAATTTAGAACTGTATGACATGGGGTTTGAAAGAACTATACTTTCTATGTTAAAGAATCTAGAGAAAAAGGTGGCCAACATACCTAAATAGAATTTAAGCAGGTAGATGGGATCTATTAAGAAACAGTAAAATGGAAATGCTATACCAAAAAGAATCTGTGATAAAAATTCCTTCAACAGACTCATCAGTTGATTAAACACAGCTGACGAAACAATATAAATAAATCAATATAAGTTATCTGAACTGAAACACAAAAAGAAAGAATAAAGGGTGAAATAAAAAAAAAACATGATACGTAAGAGTTTCTGGATAGAACATATCAGAGCCTAACATATAAGTAACTGAAATCCCAGAAAGAAGAGAAAGGAGCAGAAAACATATTTGAAGAGATGATAGGTGAGAATTTTTCCACAAATAACAAAGGACACAAAACTACAGACTCAAGAATTCTAAGCAGGATAACTCCTATACATATCAGTCAAACTACTGAAAACCAAAGAGAAAATCTTGATGGCAGCCATGAAGGAACTAGGAAAATAATTAGACCTCTTGTTTAAAACTCTG